CAATCCCTTCTCCTCCATTCTCCTCTCGGGATCTTGGGCACGCACGCACACGCGCCCGGCGTGAGTTTTAAGCCACCGGGTCCGGGACACGAACCACGGTCGACTACGTGGGAGTCCAGCGACATAGCCATTACGCTAACTGCTGGTTCCCAATACATGGTTTTGAAAAAAGTGAATGAGTGAATACTGAATGCACATGAAAGAAACCCAGAGCCCTATTAAAATGGGAATGAAGGAGTACATTTTCCATATGCTTTAGAACACTGGGAAGGTCCCAGTTAAAAAAGAAAAACACAATGAATTTATCTTGTGACATGCTTTCCTAAAATGTTCCACAACTACTTACGTTTATCTTCATATAAAGTCTTAGATTTCATGTAGACCTCAGAAGGATCCAGTTTCGGGGATCCTGACCTGATAATGCTGGGAGGAAAAGGCATAGGCTGGGGTACAGGCTCATTTACGGCTTCCAAACTTCCTGAATTTTCCTTTTTATCTGTTTTCTGAAAAGGAAAAGGCCTTACTTAGCATTACTTAAAAAAAAAAAAAATCAGACAGTTGATTAATTCATGAGACTTGTCTGCACCAGGTATGGCAACTGGTTACAGTTGTGTAGGTGGCAGTTTTGCAGTCCTAGGGAAGTTCACTTCCACAGCCATTGTACGTGGTTAGAACATATTTAACTTAAATGAGAAAAACCTTCCTAGTGACGTCAACTGAGGGCCTCAATTAGTCCCAGGTTTAAGCGACTGTGCCCTCTTCACCACTACCAAGCCACAAACTGACTTTGAGATGAGGATAAATAGGAATACCATGCAAAGCAGCACTTTTAAGAAAAGCAAAGAGACTCAGAGAACATCTTCATAAATTCTTGAGAAGTCCCACCTCCTACTCACTCAGTTTAATTCAGTGAAGGTTTAAGATAATATTCTTTCTAAGAAACTAGGATAGGAAGTGTTAACTGTAATTTAGGTTGTAAGATGACACTGTAAAAACTCTGGCCAGTGCAAATATATTATGGGAACATATGCCATGCCAGGCACTCAGGCAAGGAAACAGCAGCAGCATATTCTGATATTTTTCCTATTCAGATAAAACTTCCACAAAACAATAGCCAAACAAAATAACGAGCAAAATTTTAAAAAACAAAATCCAAAAAAGGTGATCGTAGACATTTATGATAAATAACTAAGAAGGAATACAATGCAAAGGCACCAGCATGACAGGGAGTAATTAGAGGTCAGTCACTAGAAACTGCTGTGCCAAAGGGGACCATTTCGAGTGGCAGGGAAGTAAGAGCAGCTTCTTCCCCCTTCCCCTGCGTGTCGCAGGAGTCTGTCAGAAGCAGACAGAGGTCACGGAGCCTTCCATCAGTTATGAAGCATTAGGTCTCTATGACTTCAGTGGCATACATTATGAAATAGACACAGCGGCATAAGGGTTAAAAATGATTACTAGGAGAATCAGAGCAGCATAAGAAAAAAATATACAGTGAGATTTTAACTGAATGGACAAAAAAAATTTCCGTTCATGCTCAACCTATGTGGCAAAAAAAGTTTAAAAAAGGGCAGGAGCTGAGTATTTCCTTTTTTGACCCATAAAACGGCAAATTTGCAGATTCCTACTTGATGGGCTAGAAAGAGCTAATCCATTGAATGTCTACCTGATGGTCTTTCTTCTAATAGTCCGTGGCTTATGGTTATGGAAGACAATCTTCAATTTTGAAATGCATGACTCTAAAACAAGTAAACTAAAACTAAATTAGGATTTTCAATATAATAATTGTCTTTATATCTACCTCCATGCAATTGTGGATACTTAGTAGCCATAGATGTGCACCGGGTACAGTTTCTTTGATAATAGCACTACTTGGTGCACCTTTTAAGAAAAGTTCTTATTCTCTATATAGATCCTGAAATATGCTACGCGGCGATACAGAAGAATGTCAAAGATGACACCATGTCAGGTTGAACAGCCTGTCTGCTTCGGTTGCGAGCAGATATGGCACAGAAGGCCACAATTACTCTGGAAAGACTTGCTTAGTCCTAAATGTAAGATTATCTAAACATGAATATTTACAGTCCCTATGAAATTATGGGAGGCTACCGCATCTTCTCTTTGGACAGCAGCAAGATGTAACAGTTATTGTCTGTCCTAACATTTAGCTCCTTTTACCTTGCTCCTCTGAAGCACAAAGAAAGTAAAAGTGTGTTTACATTTTCCTACATAGAGAACAGGATTACTGGTAGTATGGAGTGCTGGTATTCCTCCACTAGCAATACTTAATCAAGAGAGCACACCCCTTCCATAGGGAGCTGTTTCTACCCTTCCCTAGAGTTCTGATCCAGGTGCAGGGCAGCACGCCTCCTGGCTTCTCTTACGGATCAGCACCAGTGCAGGAAGCTGCTCTTGCAGAGGGGAGTGTGGCATCTCTTTCAGTGTGCTAGGAAGAAGTATTTGAAGGCCAATGTATACTTACCATTTTGGCAGTTTTAGTTGGTGAAGGAGGACCTTTAAAAAAAAAAGGCCAGATTTTAAAAACAGAGGAAGCATTCTCAGAACTCTGATAGTGCTAATATTTATTATAAAACTAGCTTTAACTTTTAGTGGGCTAGTAAATTCTACCTGTATTTAATATCTCCTATGTCAGATATATCATCTCATTTCATTTTTATCACAATCCTACAGCATAAATGTCATTGCCATTTTATAGATAAGATAAAGTAACAGTCTCCCTGTACTATAGAACCAATGAGTGGAAAGGCAGGAGATTGACATTAAACCTATCTGGCAACAAACCCTGGTCTCTCTGTTATATATCTAAACATGAATATTTACAGTCCCTATGAAATTATGGGAGGCTACCGCATCTTCTCTTTGGACAGCAGCAAGATGTAACAGTTATTGTCTGTCCTAACATTTAGCTCCTTTTACCTTGCTCCTCTGAAGCACAAAGAAAGTAAAAGTGTGTTTACATTTTCCTACATAGAGAACAGGATTACTGGTAGTATGGAGTGCTGGTATTCCTCCACTAGCAATACTTAATCAAGAGAGCACACCCCTTCCATAGGGAGCTGTTTCTACCCTTCCCTAGAGTTCTGATCCAGGTGCAGGGCAGCACGCCTCCTGGCTTCTCTTACGGATCAGCACCAGTGCAGGAAGCTGCTCTTGCAGAGGGGAGTGTGGCATCTCTTTCAGTGTGCTAGGAAGAAGTATTTGAAGGCCAATGTATACTTACCATTTTGGCAGTTTTAGTTGGTGAAGGAGGACCTTTAAAAAAAAAAGGCCAGATTTTAAAAACAGAGGAAGCATTCTCAGAACTCTGATAGTGCTAATATTTATTATAAAACTAGCTTTAACTTTTAGTGGGCTAGTAAATTCTACCTGTATTTAATATCTCCTATGTCAGATATATCATCTCATTTCATTTTTATCACAATCCTACAGCATAAATGTCATTGCCATTTTATAGATAAGATAAAGTAACAGTCTCCCTGTACTATAGAACCAATGAGTGGAAAGGCAGGAGATTGACATTAAACCTATCTGGCAACAAACCCTGGTCTCTCTGTTATATTTTTTGCAGGTCTAGATAACTCTCCAACACTTATAGAGATTTTCACCTTAACTCTGAGCAGACTGTACCAGCACCCAGAGAAGAAACAAAAAATTGTTCAGAAGGTCAGTCTGTGGATTGGTAGTTAAGGCAGCTGGATCCCACATGACTGACTGTGCAGTTTGAGTCCCGGACCCTGCAACTTGGGAAACATTCCAGGGTGTTTGTGTATACATGCCCAAAATTTGGAGAGAACGGAGGGGAAGGGATTGTGTCATGGCCATCTCCCCCAAGGGGTGCTTTATCATATTCTCTCTCTCTCTCCTTTTCTCTGTCTCTCCCTTGTGAATGCACATGCTGCCCAATAGCAAATTTAAAAAGGGGGGGGGGCACCAGGTGGTATGATGGTTAAGGTGCTGGACTCCCACATGATCGACCGTGGATTAAATCCTGGAACTGGTGGCTTGAAACTCATGCCAGGCGCCTGTGTGTACATGACCAAAATCCCAAGAGGAGAATGGAAGAGAAGGGACTGTGATGTGGCCATTCCCCTTGGGGTGTGATTTCTCACTCACTTTCTTTTTCTCTCTCTGTCTCTCTAGCAAGTGCACATACTCTATAGCATAAATCTCTCTCAAAAAAAAAAAAAAAACAAAGTCAAAGAAATGAAAATAAAGAAACACTTCCCAATGAGGTTAAAGATTCACCTGCTTCGAAAACAAAAACTAAATGTCAGAGAAATAAGTGTAGGGTGGGACAGCTGGTAGCATGGTGGACTCAACCACATGGTTGAGTCCCAGACCCAGTGGCTTGGAAGATTTGACAGGTGCATGTGTGTGGTTGCCCAAAATTCTGAGAGGAGAGGAGAAGGGACCGCGATGTAGCCATACCCCCTGGGGCAGTGCTTTCTCTTTCTTTCTCTCTCTCTCTCTCTGGTGAGCATATGTGCCCTATAGCAAATTACCAAAAAAAAGGGACCAGCAGTTAGCATAATGGCTATGTCACTGGACTCCCACATAGTCGACCGCGTTTCGACTTCCGGACCCGGCGGCTTAAACTCACGCCAGGTGCATGTGCGTGTGTGCCCAAGATCCCGAGAGGAGAATGGAGGAGAAGGGATTGCGGCGTGGCCATCCCCTCTGGGGGGTGATTTCTCGCTTTCTGTCTCTCTATCTGGCGAGCACACGCGCTCTATAGCAAAAACCTCTCCAAAAGAAAAAAAAAAGGAGTTAAGGGCTAAATTTTATTCTTTAAAATAGTAATCATTCATAAGTGTGGGTTTAAGAAAGTCTATTAAAATCCAACTTTGTGATTAGTCCTTGGAATTGATTATATAATGTCTGGAAACACTTCATGTCAGCTGATAACCTTGGAAAACAAAAGTTATATTTTTCTCACATAAGCACTGTGGGGTCTAATTAACATTACAGGCAGATACTAGAGCTTAAGATAAAAGCTTTCTGAGCACAATCATGAATGTCTTCGAAGAACAGATTAAGACGTCATCCAACATTTTACTTATTCATGGAGATGCAAGATCTTTCAAAATGTCTTTAGTGCATTACAGAGGTCTAGATGAGAATAAATGGTTGAAAGAGTTGATTTCTACTATTGTCAACAACAGTGAAAATGAAATCAAGAAGATATGTTTCATTTGCATTAGGTAACACAATGCTGTGATTTTTCTCCAATCATTAGAGCCATAAATCAAATTTTAAAAAGAATATAGAGGAAAGAAATTCATAATGGACATGAGTGAAACTACTACTAAAAAAATTAACAGAAAATTAAAAAGGCAAAATACTGCTGATAAAGATACTACTTAAGGGAGCAATTAGACAGAACTTTAAGGAAAATGCACATTAAATATCAGTTACGTCTATCGGGAAAAGACGTTCTACCCAGTAAGGAAGGACAATTAGCGATATAAACGCTTGAACGCTGACGACTTCTCCTTGTTGTGCTTTTACTCACCTCCTCTTAAGATAAGTAATGGTACATCTGCCCCTACTGGAAACTGCTTTAGCACCTCTACCACTTGGAGATGTGTTAAATTCTGCACATTTTGATGGTAAATTTCCTTAATTATATCCCCTTTCTGAAGACCTTGACACCACTGGCTATCCAGGATCATTTTCACCTTCTGTCCAGTGGGGCTGTCAGCAATTGCAAACCCAAAGCCTTTAGGCCCCTTAATCAAAGGGATAGTCACTAGTTCAGGCTGGGAGCTGCCCGAGGAGGCCATGGATGCTCTCTGCTCGTTTGGATCTGATGGTCCATTGAGACGATCACTGGTCAAGGTGTGTCCTGATTTTCCATTCTGGTCCAGAACCATCGCTCCTGGCTTAAAATCCTGAGTACTCACGCCAGTCTCTCCCTTGGCTAATGACTGTCCATTGATGGCAGGAGTAGCAGCAACAATGTCCACAACAGGATCTTCACTGTCATCAGGAAGCGGATAACCACGACATAAAGTGAGGTTTACATACTGATTGACAGGTACCAACTGAAACATCTGGACAACATCTGCATGGGTGTGCCCAAGGACACAGTTGCCATTGATGTCTACAATAACATCACCTAGTAAAACATAATCATATTAAAACATAATCATATTAAAACTATTAAAACCACCGAGTTAATTTTTTGCTGGAAGGAAAGGCAAAAATACCTTAAATTTAGCAACTAAAATTAAATTTTGAAAACCTCTTACTGTTTATTAACAGATGAAAACACAGACTTCTAAGACAGACATTCTCCCTTTTTCAACTTCTTTCTTACAAAGTTCCTATAACTATCTAAAACTTAATTATCTTATTAGTGAAGTTGCTATTTCAATCTCAAGGTTAAGTGAATCGTTAAAAAAAGAATCCCTGCAAATTAATATTATCATTATTAGCAGACCCTCTGAGTCACACCTAAGTGTTCACAACAGGCATGTTGTAGTGATATTTAGCATATAGAGGAGGAGCAAATCATTCCGCTGGCTACTTACAAACAGGCTCCCTTCAAATATCACCTTATCTCTTTTGTTTAAGGAGCAGTTGATTACTGTGTGTTGAAAGTTATTCTAGTCTGAGAAATGTAGAGCTGAAGATTAGAATGATGTTAACTTATAAATGTATTTTCTTTTAGTATTCTCCTCCTTGTTGATTTTGAATTTACTATAAATCAGATTTCAAGAGGAAAAAGAAGGAAAAAATTCACTACAAGCAAGAAATCTATTATTTAAGACATGGAAAAACCAGCTAACTTAATCCTTCTAAAAGTTGGTTTTGTTTTCCTGATTTTACATGATTGTGATCATTTTGGATGCAGAATCTTTACCACTTAAAATTCATCAGTTGGTTTTATTTGTTTGGCTGGTTTTTGCCACAGGGTGTGTACAATTGCCAGAGAGAGAGAGGGGGAAAGTGCAAATTTACCTCCCCCAGGGGCAGAGAGGGTGTATGGCCACATTAACAATCCCTTCTCCTTTCTTCTCCTCCCAGGGCTTTGGGCACACACACATGCACACATTCCTGGTGTGATTTTAAGCTGCTGGGTTTGGGACTCAAACTGCAGTCAGCCATATGGGAGTCCAGTGCCTTAACCACCATGTCACCTGCTTGGTCCTATTTGGGTATTTTTAAACACTGTCTTGATGGTTTAAATCTATCCTCTGTTGTCTCATCCATTCGCAACTTTAATCAAATGATAATATGATTATTTAAGAGGTTATTGCCAAATACAGGGACTTTATCTGTTCTACTGCATGTAAGCTTTAACAAACCAATATGAATTGTGTTCAAACAAACATTAGTCTGTGGAAATGTGTCTCCTACTCCAAGTAGGTATAGGAATTAGACTAATTAGAGACAAAATTTGACATTTTCCTCCCCTGGTTAAAGCTCCCAAAATTTTCAAGGAAGTATTGCATCACTATGCAAATTAGATAGTAACAGTTTTAGGCAAATGGGAAATTATATTATGAAATTCTGATAGTATAGGACCAGCAGTTGGTGCAATGGCTGTGTCACTGGACTCCCATGTAGTTGATTGTGGTTCGAGTCCTGGACCCGGTGGCTTAAACTCATGCTGGGCATGTGTGCATGCATGCCCAAGAGATACTGAGAGGAGAATGGAGGAGAAGGGATTGCGGCATGGCCATCCCCCCCGGGAAGTGACTTCTCGCTTTCTGTCTCTCTCTGTCTTTCTGGCAAGCGCACGTGCCCTATAGCAAAATCCTCCCAAAAACAAAAGAAAGCAAAACAAAACAAAACAAAACAAAAGGTTAAAAAAAAAAAAGAAATTCTGACAGTATAAATAGTTAAGAGGTATGTTCCATGGGTGAAATGTTGAAAAGGTCATAACTGAAAACTAAAAAAAAAAAACAAAAACAAAACAAAACAAAACCCCTTATTATTAACTTTAATCTCTGGAGTTCTTTAATTTTATAAAGTAATAGAGTTAAAACCAATTTTCTTTATAAATATAACTTTTGGTTAAAGTTTTCTTGTTTTAAGTTCTTTTCACTTCCATGGGGAAGAATAATATGAGACATATCCCAATTGAAAATAACTTTGCATCTGTCCTCAAAAAGTACTATGACAAGTGAATCATTCAAATGTGAGCCCACATTTACATGGTATGTAAAATAACAGAGAAGTCTAGTGAACACAGCAAGAAATAACCTCTGTGGAATACTAAAATACTTCTGGGATAAAGTGTTTAAAACTCTCCAGTAGTCAGTAACTAGTCATGAACTTTCTCCGAACTCTTTAGCTACAAATGCTGTCAGCCATATTGGAATATCCAGCAATTAGGCCTGGCCCCATAGTACAGTGGCTGAGGAAGCTGGATCCCACATGGCTGACCAGGACTCAAGCCCCAACCTTGGAGGCTTACATGCTGGGCATGCATTTGTTCATTCAAGTTCCTGATGGGATGGAGAACTGGAGAAAAATAATTGTGGTGTAACCAGGCCCCACTGGGGATGTGCTCTCCCCTACATCCTCCCATCTCTGTGGCTCTCTTGCACATATGCACATGTGCTCTCCAGCATAATAAAAAAAAAAATTAAATATTCAGTAATTCTAAGTAAAGACTATGAGAAAACTATATGAAAGACAAATCTATACAGCTCTATAAAAACAGTAATGCTTGTGTTTAAACATAGGAGTTAAAATTTTCTAACAACCAGTAAGACCAAGGAAGGAAAAATCTTGGGAAAAACTTTAGGATATAACAATTTGCTTGATAAAACTATAAACATCACAACAAATCATTTTTCAGAAGAGATTATAGGTAAATGTTAGCTCCAAAGATACCCTATGTGGCTAAATAAATAATCAATCAATCAATCAATCAATCAGTTTTCTGAGATGGCTAATAAATCTCTAGTCTTATAGGGCCAAAGGTGTATCTCAAGATTATACAAAATACTCCAAAAAATTAACAAATTTAATGTTTTCTCTAATACTTTCCACTTATTTGTAAAAATGCCCCCCCCCAAAGGTGGTATGCATTTAGTTTAGAGGATAAACAATTTTAATACAAGAATCTCCCTCTTCAGTTATGTAATTTCTCTTTTTCTCCCTTTATTCATAAACCTCTTTGTTATGATTTTAATTTCATTGTTGTTAACAGTGTCACTACTCTTCAAGTAATTCTGAAAAGTTTCCTACCTGGTGCTATTTTCCCATCCTGAGCCGCGGGGCCATCTTTCAACACATTTTTTACTTGCAGGAACTCATCAGGTCTGTCTCCACCAATAATGGTAAAACCAAATCCCATTGTGCTTTTTTTCAGTGATGCTCGAACAAGGACACCTTTAAGCTGGGATGGATCTCGAGTAAAGTGTGATTTTTCCACATCTGTGCCAAAACAAGAAATAGGTTTAAGAAGAAAAGTAATTACAATGAAGACTGCCCTCAAAGCCAATCTTTAAGACTGTCTATGGGGACACTTCAAAAAAAAATTAATGAGAAATGGAATTAAGGTATGAATTTATTTTGGTGTAAAAATTTTTTTAAATCCATAATTTTTCATAATATGTATTTTTATGAACTTCTTGAAGACCCCCTCTCTTATGTATAACTTAAATATAAAAAATCACAGGGAAAGAAAAGTAATTTTTTTTTTTTTTTTGGAGAGATTTTCACTGTAGGGCGCGTGCGCTCGCCAGACAGACAGAGAGAGACAGAGAGACAGAAAGCGAGAAATCACCCCCCAGGGGGGATGGTCACGCCACGATCCCTTCTCCTCCATTCTCCTCTGGGATCTTGGACACGCACGCACACGCGCCCGGCGTGAGTTTTTAAGCCACCGGGTCCAGGACACGAACGGCGGTCAACTACGTGGGAGTCCAGCGACATAGCCATTACGCTAACTGCTGGTTCCCATTAATCTAACATAAGATAGTTAAGCATTTAAATTCATAAACTAAATCCCTGATAAAAATAAACCTAGCTAATGAATATTTTTTCTCCTTTTTTTTTGTTTTTTTTTAAGGTTATTGCCATAGGGCACATGTACTTGCCTGAGAGAGACAGCAAGAGGGAAAGTGAGAAATCAGCCCCTGGGGAGAATGGCCATGCCACAATCCCCTCTCCTCCACTCTCCCCCTGGGATTTTGGGTATCATGTACAAGTGGCAGATGTGAGTTTCAAGCCATGGTATCCAGATTCAAATTGCAGCCGGCCATGTAGGAGTCTGGTGTCTTAACTACTACGCCACCTGCTGGGCCTGCCGATGAGTCATTTTTCTTATAGAGGACTCATGGTATCAGAAGGGTAAAAGCACCTATTTCGTCTCCTCATTGCTTGTACTTTCTCTCACCCTAGAGTTCATTACGTGAAGTCAAAAAGATGCACTTAATGGAAATCTTTATTACTAAATTCCAGAAAGTTCTAAACACTCAATCAGCAGTAGTTCTCATTTAAATAAGCAACTGAATTCCGTTTGGAAAGCAGTATCCTAAGATGAAGGGAAGTGTTCTAAGTTTATAAAAGAGAACACACTGAGAATTTTTATAATTTACAACTCAGGCTTTCTGTAGTTTTTATTTATACAAGGGGACTTAAAAAGTTCTTGGAAAATGGAATTAAAGTATGAATTTATTTTGGTGGAAAAAAGTTCTGAAATTTATGCATAGTTCTTTTATAATACGCACTTTCCATGAACTCTTTGAAGACCTCTGGTATCTGATGGAAGGAGTGAATTCCTGCACTATTAGTACATAACTTAGTTTTCCCCCACCTTTCAGTCATGGTTAGTAGATACTCCAGGGAGGAAAAAAAGAAAAAGGCAAAAAACAAAAAAGCAGTTCCTTTGAAAAGCCTATTGTTAGAGGTGTCCTCAGATAATTCTAGAATTAAAAGTGATCAACACCTGCAAATAACATCATCTTTCCCTTCCCAAGAACTTTTTTCCTTTTTTTCCTCACACTGGCTGCCATTAAGGCACTTATGAAATCTGTGGAAGAATCAAATGGCTTAAAATGTTCCTCCATATCGATTTTCAAACAACTTGATGGAGATACAATCCACATACTAGAGAACACAGTCCTCTGAGGCGTTCCTGACATGTGTAATATCCACTTGGCTATGCAAGTTGATCTAGACTGTCCACTAATATTGCCTATAAGACTGTGGAAATGACCATCTGTTTAATGGCTAAGTTTTTGTTTTTGTTTATTATTTATTTATTTACTTATTTTATTTTCTTTGCTATAAGGCATGTGAGTTTGCCAGAGAGACATGAGAATGAGAGAGTGAAAAAGCACTCCCCAGGAAGATGGCCACACTGTAATCCCTTCTCCTCTAGTTTCCTCTTAGGAGTCTGGGCACACAAGTACAAGTGTATCCTCCAAGCTGCTGAGTGTGGGACTCAATCCGTGTAGTCAGCCATCTGTAATCCAGCTGCCTTAATCACCACGCCAACAGCTGGTCCCAAATGATCAAGTTCTTAGGTACTTGGAGATACTAGAGTGGATGAAATATACCTTTCTCATTTTTATGTCAAATACTGAAAATATTTCTAGTGTGCTATCCCATGCCCTCTTCTCAAATACCGGACTAAGACTGGCTTCTAAGGACAAAATGAGAAAGTTGGCATATAATGTATGTGACCTAAGATATGCAAATAAAGGGGAAATTCTGTTTAGTAAAACAATAAAAACAGCCAAGGCCAATTAAAAGTTGGTCAGAAGTAGATTTTATCAAGATTAAATATAAAAAAAGGAGACTCATAATTCTGAGCTTTGTGATTTTGATTTGTTGTGTGAGCATGGGCATGTTATTTAACCTTTTTTTTTTAAAGAAATATTTACTTAATTTTATTATTATTTTTAAAAATTTGACCAGAGAGAGAGAGAGGGCAAAAGTAGAAAGCAAGTGGCCAGATCCAGGACTCAAACCATGGTTGGCCATGTGGGAGTCCAGCGCTTACCTACCAAGCCACCTGCCAGCCCATAGTACCTTTCTGAATGTCAGTTGCCTCATCTATAAAATGGGGATAGCAGTATCTCATTTATGGGACTGTTACAGAGATTGAACTATGCAAGAAATAGAAAACATAGCAAACTGCTTGACAAACATTAAGTGCTTGATAAATGTCGACAAGCACAATCCCATATACACTGCCTAAGGAAGGAAGTTTCCTGGCTCCCAAACTTAGTGCCTCTGTCCCTTTGGGTATGATAACACTGGGATAGACATATCAGACAATTTTGATTCCATCAAAGGATCTCAATGGGGAAAATAATATTACTAACCCTTGCAGAGCTACTGATATTAGGAGACTTAAATGAGGTGATGTATACAATGCATCTAGTTCTGTATTGGACTCATTGTCTCAATAAATGGTATCTATTATTCTCTGAGGATTAGCATAACTTTCATAATATCCAGGAAAGCTTTCTTGCCTTCTCACAATCAAGAGTTAAGTTCTCTCTCCTCTGAATTCTCATACTATTGTTTATATCTCTATTATCAAAATGATATGAAAAGTATGTATCTATTTCCCTGGCTAAATTGGGAGCTCTTTTTCTTTTAATCTCTAGCTAATAGCCCCCCCCCTTTTTTTTTCTAAAAGAGAAAATTTTGTCATAGGATGTGTGTCCTTGCCAGAGAGACAGAGAAACAGAAAGCAAGAAATCACCCCCACTGTGGGGATGGCCATGCCACAATCCCTTCTCTTGCATTCTCCTCTCAGGATCTTGGGCACACATGAATATGTGCCTGGTGTGCATTTAGGCCATTTAGGCCACCAGGTCCAGGACTCGAACCACGGTTGACTATGTGGGAGTTCAGCAACATAACCATTACACCATCTGCTGGTCCCCATAGTTCACCTTATTTTTCTTGGTAGAAGTTTTGGCTTTAGGTGCGTGTGCTCACTGGAGAGAGAGAGACAGATAGTGAGAGAAAGTAGAAATCATTCTGTGGGGGTGATGCATTCTCTTCTCCATTCTCCTTCTGTGATCTTGGGCATGCACGCACAAGTGCCTGGTATGAGTTTTAAGTCACCAGGTCTGGGACTCGAACCGTGGTCAGCCATATGGAAGTTCAACGACAAAACCTCTACATCATCTTCTGGCACCAATCTCTAGCTCATAGGAGAGTGCCTGGTTATCTAAATCAATATAACAACATGGTCTCTGCCTTCAAGAGGCTTAGAGTTTAATAATAGAGAAAAGATCTTCCTTTGTACATGCCATCAAAGATAAGAGAATTCAGGGATTTATGATACAAAGAACTTTGAATTTAAAGTCTGTAAAACTAGGTCTGTAAAATTCTAGGTTGACATTTACACACTAGCATTCTAAGCAAGAGGCTTAACCTTATGAAAGTCTCTGTTTTCTATGTATAAAATGGAGAATTCATGATTATGCCCAATTAATGTCTCCTATTTACACTCTCTCATAGTCAAGCCTATCCTAATGAGCTTATATAGACTCACTGTCTACTTCTTCACCTCCCTTCTCTCTTCATTCTACTGCAATTTTACTTCATGCTCCAGCTGATCTTGCTAGAATGACTAATGACCTCTCGCTGTCAAATACAATGCACACTTAATTTCATCTCCTTTATTTTTCCAGTTAACACCTGAGAAAAACATTTAGCTTCTTTTCGACTCTTGGCTGCCTACCCCTACCTCATCTCTCTTTTCCTCTTCTTTTTTGTTTTGAGAGATTTTTGTTATAGGGCATGTGCGCTCACCAGACAGAGAGAGAGGGAGGGGGGAAGAGAGAGAGAGAGAGAGAGAGAAAGTGAGGAATCACCCTCCCCCCCCCCAGGGAGGGTAGCCACACCGAAATCCCTTCTCCTCTTGGGATTTTGGGCACACACGCACACACACCCAGGGTGAGTTTTTTATATATCATGAGAAAAATCTAAGTATTCTTACAATGTCCAGATATTTTATAAGATGTCTGTATCTTTACAGTGACTAAAATTAGACATTCTCTGTTGAATTTGAATAAAAAGTTCAAAATCACCTTCATTAACTCAGTACACAAATTCTGTAAGTAATTACTAGAACAATAGATAGAAAAAAGAGTTGTACCTGGTTTTGAAGACCCAATTTCAGCCTGTCCTAACTGCTTTTTCCTTTTGGCTTCCTCCACTGGATTTTCAAATTGGGTTTTCTGGTTAAGGTGACTGTAAAATATTAAAAAATTATGCATTTCAGTTTTAGATGAAAAGACTACATGTTTTTAATAGACTATCAGACCAGTCGATTACCAAAGATAAAGAGATAAATAAGTAAATTTAGGATAAGGCACACAGAGCAGCTGACAGATTAACATAGAGGGGCTTTTTGGCAATGAAGGAAATGCCCACAGAAGATACCTAGAAGTCAAAGCTAAGGAAGTGTATGACATTTGCTACTGCTTCTTTATAAGCCTACCTGATATTGCAATGTCAGTTTTCAAAACTATAACAGAATTTCTCTTTATCTGATGCAACTGGAAATGTTCATAATTGATCAGTTAATTATTTTTTTAAAAAAGCAGTTAATGACAAAAGTGTTTTAACTTTCTTAAAAATAAGTGGAGCTGTAAAAATGTTTTTGAAGAAATCTAGGTACAAAATCCTTTTAGGATATTGCTATTACTTTTCCACTGATATCAATTCAGCAGCATCTCAGAAAGTCACTTGCTCTTATAGAATCATATTAAAGAACAACTCTGTTTCATGCTTTCATTTCTTCACAATTATGTAATGATTAAATAAATCATACAATTATGACATAAATTAAACTGGCATTTATGGTTTGGGAACATTTACAACGAGCTCTTGGAAACGCATGCTATTCTATGAGGAAAAGCAGAAAAGCATGGAAAGACACTAGCGTAGATGATTAGCCAAGGGGGTTCAACATTCTATGAGCAAGAGTATTCTTTACTGCAGGGGTAGAGATCTGTCACTGTCACAAGTCAGTGAAGTGGAATTGGATTAAGAATCCAACAATTGTGGGGCCAGTAGGTGGTATGGTGGTTAAGGTGCTGGACTTCCACATGGGGAGCTGTGGTTCAAGTCCCAGGGATCTGGCAGCTTGAAAAATCACATCAGATGCATGTGTGCCCAAAATCCCAGGAGGAGAGTGGAAAAGAAAGGATTGTAGCATGTCCATCCCCCCCACCCCCCTCCCCAGGATAATTTCTCACTCTCCCTCTCTCTGCCTCTTTCCAGTGAGCACATGTGCCCTATTGCAAAGACCATAAAAAAAAAAAAAAAGGAACAACTGTAAAAAAGACGTTTAAGGCCACAGATAAGTCTAGTACAGAAGTGATAGGAATTATATTCTAGCACTTCCACAGTATGAATATAGTTCAGCCAAATAATACACCTTTTCCGGTAAAATCCTCTTTAACAAGAAGTGACATTTGTGAACACCAATTAAACATCAAATCATGAGAATTTCAGAGGATGACTGTCTTTAGATGACGGAGCCATGCAGACAACACAAGCTGGTAAAGAGGCTGTCTCCCATGGCCTGGGCTGGGAAGAAACAGCAAGATAAAGCCAGCGGTTTACTAACTCTCCTTGTGTCATTTTATTGGCCTATAGTTAATTTCTCTGCCGTTGAGTTTTACTGCTATTACGGTACCCTGCAAGAGTAAGATATCACCCCCAACCATTACAATAAAGCCAATTAGTGATCTTGTAGGAATGTGGTTCCCTAAGAAGAGGGTGGGAAGTTTGAGACTCCCCCACTTGTCTGTCTAAGCCAAAATTAACATATGTTAGGTCAAAATAGTATAAGCCAAAGTAGCATCAGTAGCATATGAAAACTAAGTTAGTTTAAGGCTAGTTTTAC